ACTGTATATATATATAATGTATATTTAATATGCCTATAAATCAGTACAGTATTGTCATTATTATGTTATTATTGTTCATATCGTTATCATGTTTTTATATTAGGCCTATGCCTTTTTTATTAATAGGCCTATTATTTTAATATTATTTTTACTAATGCTGTTTTTATTGTAAATAAAAAAAGTAATAACAAAGGTAAATATCTAAAACAATTAAATTTTTTAATTTTTAATGCTGGAGGCCTTCCCAATTTCAGAGAGACTCCCCTCCCGCGACATACAGGAGCAGGAGACTCCCCTCCCGAGACATACAGGAGCCAGAGACTTCCATCGGAACCTCTGCTGATGATATAAACAAGCTACCTTAAAGCATGGAGGAAATATATTAATTATTATATATTAATATATTAATATATTTATATATTATTAATATATTTACTCCATGCTTAAAGTCATAAATAACAATGCAACAAAGCGACACATGAATAAAGCTCACGACCATAGGTTATCTGTTAAAATACAATTATTATATTTGCAAGGTTAAACAAGAGTAGGCCTATAATGTACTTTCTGAGCTTACTTGCTTGTAAGAGTGGCGGAGGCTTTCCCAATTTCAGAGAGACTCCCCTCCCGCGGGTCGACATGCAGGAGCAGGAGACTTGGAACCCCTGTTGATCATAAACAAGCTACCTTAAAACATGGAGTACTTTCTGATTGAGTGGGTTGCACTTAAACTGCAGTTCAGGGTTTCCGAAATTATTTCAGTTGCTTGGTATTTGAAGTTTATGTAAACTACCGTATATTACTCTAACAAGGCATGTTTAAATAAGCTCGTAATCGTAAAAATACCACCGTAGTCCTGTCAGTACTTACATTGGACATTATTGCTAATTTTCTAGTGCTTGTAAATTGATGAATATAGTATTGAGTTTTTCGACGTAGGTAAATCTACAGTGTCTGTAAGAAATTTAGCCTTCCAAACAATAAACTCGACTACACGGCTTTCCGAACAAAAGACTTCTTCATGCGAAGCAGGTATAGTGGGCCTACTTTACCCATAAATCATTCCAACTGCTCTCAGCAATACAATACATTTTCCTGTTGGTCTGTTCCTTCCTTCCTGCACGTTCCGCTTAAGAGTTCAGCTGTAAAGTGGTGGTGCCGCAGCCAGTGGCGTACCTGTCTTTAATTGGGGGTAGGGGGAGGGGCTGATTGGGGGAGAAGTTGAAGAGACGGATCGATTAAGTGAGGGGATCTAGCTCGCAAAATAATATGATATGAGGTGATTTTTATATAGTCTTGAGCGTGCTGGAGGGGAAATTTTTGGGGGGAGCGTGCGTCCCCTCCCCCCGCGTACCCATAGATACGCCAATTGCCGCACCGGTGCTAAGATTTGCCCGACGGAGGGCGAGGAGGGAGAGGACAATGTCAGAGGATGTTCCCCGGGAGCGTAATTGAACATATCCAGGGGCTGTCTAGACCCCTCGAAAGGGGTCCAGGGCCCGGCCAATCTCCCAGAAGGCACAATCACATCTGCAAGCACAAAGTCAAGTCAAAAACATTAAAAGAATTATTTTCGACTCGAGTGGATCACCAGTGGCAGATACAGAAATTCGAAATAGAGGTTCCCTGGAAGGGACTTTTACAGATGGAGGTAAGACAATTTATGATTACGGCAAGTATGGCCGGAAGTGGCACCAGACTTAGATTTGAATATAATTTTCTTTTTTTTTTCTCCATCTTTTTTTAATTTTAAAAAACTTAGGAAGGGGGAGGGGGATTCCCCCGTTGAATCAGCCACTTTTCACTAAATGTTATAGGCTATCAAGAAATGTATCTGTGTTCTTGTATACTGATGTAACGGATTGTCGATCCACTTAAATTTTAAATTTGTAAGTGTAGGAGGCGAGGACGCCGACAAAATACAGCAGGGACGTAGCCAGGATTTTGAAAGGGGGGGGGGGAGCCGTTATGCGAATTACGTAGGACCCCGGTGGGGTCAAGGGGGCGAATCCCCCTGTGAAGTAGCGCATTCTAAACGTTCTTAGGACTGTTTGAGAGGATAAAGTGAAAATTGCAATAGGCGCATTATAAATAAGCGCAAAAATAATTATATAATAAATCAACAGTGACAGATCCAGGAATTCGAAAGAGAGGTGAACGAGGGAGGGACTTTCACAGACCGAGGAACCACCCACCTCAGCCCCACCATGGTTGGGGCTGAGGTAAGAAAATTTATGATTAAGGCATCTCTAGATGGCCGGAAATTACACTCTCACACTTCAATTTGAATATATATTTCTTTTTTTTCCTTAAAAAAATGAAGGGAGAGGCCTTAAATCCACCTCTGCTCAAAACATTCTTTATCCAGAATAGTCATAATCACAAAAAATTGACATGAAAAACCAGATCACATCCTAAAAGTAAACAGCAGTCACTAAGACATACATCAGGAGCCGACTCGATGGAGTTTAATGTCATACCCAGGGAAGGGCACAGATCTGTTTGAAAGGTGGAGGGGGAGGGCATTTTGTGAGTCGACACCCACCTCAGCCCCACCATGGTTGGAGCTGAGGTGAGAAAATTTGAGGAAAGGATGGCCGGAAATGACACTTTTAGTAAAATTCATCATCACATCACCATTAGTCAACAAAAATTCTCATGATCTTTTATCAGGGATTTTTGACAACCATAGAGATCTTATTAATGTGTGTGTGATATACCACAGTAAACAAAGCTTAAAAACATTGTCTTTGAGTATCTAATTTACGTAGGCCTACTTCAAAAACGTGATTTCACAACCACCTGGTGAGGTGAGAAAATTTGAGGAAATAGTACCTCTCGAGATGGCCGGAAATGACACTTTTATGTAGTAAAATTCATCATCATCACATCACCATTATAGTCAAAATGAAACGCCAAAAAACTTCTCATGATCTTTTATCAAGGATCTACAATATCCAGGACAACTTAAGCCTAACTATAACTTACAACAAACTTTTTTTTTCTTTCACATTTAGCACAATTTTCTTCACTTTTTATTGCTATTAATATTATTATAAATTATTACTATCGTCAATTTTTTTTTTCAATTTTTCAATTTCAAATAAACATTTATTTCTTCACACAATACAATATAATAACAAAAGGTAAATATTGAACAGTCGGATTTCATAAAAAAAAAAAAAGAAGACTTGTGTGAAAGAGGGCACTGCTCAAAAAGTATACGCCAAATGATGAAAGGAAAACACATTCATCAAGTGGCACTTGTAACGAGCGACCCATATAATAACGAAAGCATATATTTCTTTGAAAAAATTACATAAACGAAACAAATACAAAACACGGATACAACAGAAAGCAGAGGGGGAATTGGAGAAATGATTAGGCAAAAATTTATCAATATTATAATAATGATATTAGAAAAATAAATTTTTATTTGATTTAAGCATATTTAGATAAAAGATATTTCTTGACCTTAAAAGAGAAAATTTTCCTGGAAGGGGACGATATAATTTCAAGGGGGAGTTCATTAAAAAGTTTGGAACCACTATATCGAATATTGTGTTGGAGTAAAGTAAGTTTGGGTAGAGGAAGGTGAAGGTTGTCACGAATTCTGGTGTTGTAAGGATGTAAATCTGAGTTTTTAAAAAAGGAGCAAAGGTTAGTAGGGAGAAGAGAATTGGTAGCTTCATAAACAAAGATACATTGTTGTAAAATATTTATATCGAAAACAGACAACTGATGCAAAGCAAGAAAAAGTGGAGCAGAGTGAGCAAGGAATGGAGCATCTGAAATTATACGGACCGCTTTTTTTTGGAGCTTGTAAATTTGTTCAAGGTTGGATTTGTAATTGTTTGCCCAGATAATATTGCAGTAACTAATAAAAGGAAGAACAAGGGATGAATAAATGGAGAGAAGTATCTGACTTTGAAGAAAGAAAGAGAGACGATAAATAATACCAATACTTTTTGCTATTTTCAGTTCAACTTCTTTTATATGATTTTTGAAATTAAGTTCATGGTCGAGGTCAATACCTAAGAATTGTGTGTGTTGAACATGTGGAATTGGGTGGTCTCCTATATAAATACTACCGATCTAGTCAAATCCAGATTTGTGGCGGCTTCCGAACAGCATGAAGTTACATTTTTCAACATTAACCGAAAGTTTATTAACATTAAAATATTCGGGGACATTTTTTAATTCATGATTAATGGAGTAAAAAAGAGAAACAAGGTTAGAATCTGAACAGAAAATGGTGGTATCGTCAGCATAAAGGTAAAAAGTTAACATTTTAGAGGAGTTGGGTGTAAAGTCATTAATGTAAAGAAGAAACAAAAGAGGACCAAGAAGGGAACCTTGGGGGACACCACAAGTTAAAAATTTGAAATTTGAAGAAGTGCTGTTAACGTTTGTACATTGCTGACGATTAGCTAAATAATCTTTAAATAAATTTAGGGCAATTCCCCGGATACCATAATTGAAAAGTTTAGAGGTGAGAATATTGTGGTTAATAGTGTCAAAAGCTTTTGATAGGTCAATAAATATACCAGCAGAAAATAGTTTGCTTTCAATTGAGTCAGAGATTTTATTAATAAGATCGATTAAAGCAAAAGCTGTAGAATATTTTTTCCTAAACCCAAATTGCATGCAATAAAGAATATTATGTTTGGTAATAAAATTATATGTACGATCATAAACGATTTTTTCAAGAATCTTGGAAAATAAAGGAAGAATTGAAATAGGGCGATAATTATTTGGGTCAGATTGATCACCTTTCTTAAAAATAGGTGTAACTTTTGCAATTTTCATGCTGTTCGGAAACACTCCGCAGGTGAGGCACATGTTAAAGATATGTGAAAGTGGGAAAAGGATAGGATAAATAGAAAATTTAACAACTTTGATATTGATGTCATCAATGCCTAGGGCTTTGTTATTTTTAAAAGAATTAACAATTTTAAAAATTTCTTCCTCATCAACTGGAAAAAGAAAAAGTGAGTCGGGTGTAGGGGCGTCAAGATATTCATAGAAGGTTTTAGGACTTAAATTAGTTATTCTTTGTGCTAGTTTGGGGCCAATACTTGTAAAGTGGTCATTAAGTAAGTTTGCAATTGAGAGAGAATCTTTAGTTAATTTACCATCAATTTTCATTTCAATGTCTATATTGTTGTTTTTGTGGGACTTTAGAAGAGAGTTGATGGCTTGCGAGGTCCCTTTAATATTATTTTTTAGTTTACTAAACTTATTTGTATAGTAATCTTTTTTACAGCTCTTAAAATTGAGTTTAACTTATTTCTATAAGATTTATATTTACAAATATTAGTTTTGTTGGGATGACGGAGACTCTTTGAATAAAGCTTGTGCTTGTAATTAATTGATTTAAGTAGTCCGTCAGAAATCCATGGTTTGAGTTTAGTTTTATATTGAGATTGAGAAATAAAGGGGAAATTTTTTTTGTAAAGATTGGTATATTTCTCTAAGAATATATTGTATGCTATGTTTGGGTCCCAGGCATTGATAACATCATCCCAAGAACAATTAAGAAGGTCATCATCATCATCATCATCATCATTGTTATTATAATAACTATTAGTAGTAGTATTATTAAACAAAAATTTAAAGAAACTTGCAAAAGGATAAATACTAAATTGAACCACAGTATCGCGTTTTTATCTTAAAAGACCTGGCCTGAGATTTATGGATTTAGGCCTATGTGTTCTATTAGGCCTATGTATAACGTGTACTGATGCATTATTATTTACATGTTTTAGAAGTATTCATTTTGAGTGATCCTAGAAAAGAATTTGTATTGGTTCAAGAATAAGCTTTAAAATTTTAACACTGTGTACGAAGGGGGAGGAGGGTGGAAGCCGCGGCTCCCACGGTTCCCCCCCGCCCTGGATACGTCCCTGAAATACAGCATCCTATGCGAAGAGTTGGTAAAAATTGCACGAAATTTGAGCAATCGTTTTCTGAATTTTTACGGACACATGTGTTATGAGTTCATTTTCAAACAACAAAGTGAACTCAGAAATCTGTTTATACCGGTGGAAAACTGCTTATACCGGAAAGCATCACTTGAATTAATCACCCAATGACAGCTGAAAAACTGGAATAAGTATCATGCTTGTAATATTGTATAATAACATATTGTTCATGTCTAGATTTCAAATAGTCCACCACAACCGGGTCCTGACATCAAGAGTCCGGAGGAAATCCGAGTGTTTTGTAGGCATTTATTGATCCATATCAATAAACCGGAGTGTTTGAATAATATTAGTGTTTGAATAATATTACATATTGAAAACCACAAGGTAGTATACTCCATCCGTCCCTTTTTGACTAAATTCGACGAATTCAGCATGTTTTTGTAGAAATCTAACATGATTCATTACTAATAATGTCTAGTCTAGGGCCTACATATGCATAATTTGAATAATTATATTGTAAAGTAGCGCTAACGACCAAAAATATTTATGAAGCCATGCCTCATGATGGTAGACGCAGTGGTGGCGCCAGCTGGGGAGAATTCTCCCCCCCCCCTCCAGTCTGACAGGCCTGGACCCATATCGTCCGACGCACGACTATGTCGTCGGATCAAAAATTAAAAAATATTAATTTGCCTATCCAAATAAAGTTATTTTGACTTCCAATTAATTCCCATATTGTGGACTAAAAGCACATTTTGGACCATACAAGAGAGTTTTTATTCCGGGCCGTCGTCAGCCGCTTGGTTCGGACCCCTCCGTTGGACATTTCAGACCCTTGTCGGCAAATTTCTGGCGCCATTGCTGGATAGACGATGGTATATATTCGTAGTTATTTTCCTCTACTCTATTTGACAGATAGGCCTATTCAGACCGAGCGCGTTTAATGCCCCTATGTAATTTATTCTAATTTGACAATATTTATGGTACGTGTTGTTATCTTGACGATTTTTTAGAAATTCACTAAACAAAGGGTGTCGTAGCCAAATGTTGTGCACATTTCACCGTTCATCAGTGGCTCAGTTCGAGCCTTCAGTCTAACATCCATCAGTGGGAAAATCTATAAATTTGTGGAGATTAAATGTGCTTAGGAAATTTAACAATTCCTTTGTAAGAAAGGAAGTTTGTATTGAAGTCCCCGAACAACATGATTTCGCGATCTGGTTGATTTGTTTTATATTGTAATATCAAGGTGCTGAATGAACTGTGTCATCCTCTTTGGACGATACCGGTAACAGGTACCGGTACCGATGATAATTGGCTTTGTTTTCGGCATGAGTTCAATCCACATGTTTCTAAATCGTTATGTTGTAGATCAGTTCTCGCATTATATGCAATGTCGTTCCTAACGAAAATACATATTATTAGGCCTAAACAATTTTCATTAGAATGACTTAGAAAATGAAAAATATATATAAAAATTAAGAATATACAAAAGCCAGACGAAAATGAACACTGGTATCAATCTTATCTTAGAAGCATTGTTTCGCATTAAGCGCTCTATAAGACAAACATTATTATTATTATTATTATTATTATTATTATTATTATTATTATTATTATTATTATTATTATTATTATTATTATTATTATTATCTGTCTCAATATTGCACGATAAATTTCATGATATTACAGCAGGCCCGCAAGCACACAATTAGAATTGAAAATGAATAACTATCCTAAACACGTATAAAATGCATTGTAATTTAACAAAATATAAAACAAGCGATTCATCATCAAGAGGATAATTATTAAAAATACCTGTGATTAAGAAAACCATGACCAGGATCTGAAGTTAACGTTGTAGAGCTATAGTAATCCTGTTAGTACTGCAAACTTTGGCATAATTTCTTCATAATACCGACTACGGAGATTCAAACATGTGGTTGCTTTACATTCTCTGAACCACTACTTAGAAGGGATCATCGCATTTAAGAACACTTTCTGCATACGACACCGGAGTCTAGTCTAAACTAATCCTTTGATATACTTTTGAACATTAGTTACTCTCTAAAACCTGAAACAATTATGTATGCTCTTTTTTGTGCCACAGGGTATACCACTCCTCACCAGACTACTAAACTGTCACTAAATATGTCTATAGCAAGGTTAGCTATTGTATTACCGGTACATGTGAAAACAGATAAATGAAATGGATATATTTTACGTTTGGCGAACTAAATATGTAATGCTTCAAAGCATTGGCGTAGGCTGTGGGTGACTCCCCCCTCCCCCAATGTGTAAGCAAATTAATTCCACTTAAAATATTTAATAAATGACCATTAAGCTTTCATTCGAATAGGGATTTCGTTCTGCATTCTCAATCTTTGCACCCCATGCCATTTAGCACCCTCACAGGGCGAAGCCAGCTTATAGTCCTCTGCAGTGCTTGCGACGCTGTTATCCTGGTGGCTAAGTTTTGCCTCCCCCCCGGGGGCAGTGTATTTAATGCTACGTCAGTGTCAACAAATAAAGTAGAAACGACAAAATTGTAGGCCTATATGATTACTGTATAACCATATATTATTTTGTACGACAAACATTTATGCATATATGCCTTTATCAGAAGTAGGCCTAAATATACAATAGCCGGAAATCGACAGGATAGGTAGGACACTAAAGGTCACAGACCAGCATAACTTAAAATTTCATGAAAGAGCTTCGACCTAACAAAACATTGGATAAGTATTCTCTGATGAATAGTTATGCAAGTTTATTGTAAATAAACTTTAATAGTAACCGAATGAAATTATTAAACGTAACTTCTTAATAAACGTAATTATAGGCCTGCATTCGGTTATTACTCGCACTCTAACTGTACAATAACTGTGTGTGCACTAAACCATGGAAATGCTTACAAATTCGTCGCCGGATACATTCTGTCACTGACCTCCTTGTGTTCCAGAAGTCCGAATTAGACCTACAAAAACATACCGGGCGTTTAAACTGTGGGCACATTAAAAACCCACGAGCAGGGAACTTCGCTATTGCCAAATTTACAACCAAAAGAACGAACCAATTCCATAAGTTTTCGAAGCTTTCGTGGTGTAGTCTTGTGTTTCACACCAAAGAACTCTCATCTAATCTTGGAATCATTTTGAAGGTTTTGGAATCCTCCGGGCCTACTCTCTAATTTGATGCGTCTTCATTAACTGACGTAAAGAAGCAAGTTGCCATTTAAGATCTCTGATCAGAGCTGTTGAATCTCCAATCATCCACTTCTATTTAATAAAGATCTTCAATGATAGTACTCTCATTTTCATTTGTCATTTGTACTGTATATGACTATATTATGTAAAAATGCGGTTGCTAAACCATACGAATTGTAGGCAGATGTGTATAAGAGACAGATATCAAGGTGCTGAATGAACTGTGTCATCCTCTTTGGACGATACCGGTAACAGGTACCGGTACCGATGATAATTGGCTTTGTTTTCGGCATGAGTTCAATCCACATGTTTCTAAATCGTTATGTTGTAGATCAGTTCTCGCATTATATGCAATGTCGTTCCTAACGAAAATACATATTATTAGGCCTAAACAATTTTCATTAGAATGACTTAGAAAATGAAAAATATATATAAAAATTAAGAATATACAAAAGCCAGACGAAAATGAACACTGGTATCAATCTTATCTTAGAAGCATTGTTTCGCATTAAGCGCTCTATAAGACAAACATTATTATTATTATTATTATTATTATTATTATTATTATTATTATTATTATTATTATTATTATTATTTTTGTTATTGAAAGATAATTATTATG